GAGATAATACATTGAAGGTGGATTGGAGGTGAGCTTAGCACGTAGGGTTACACTAACTGAAGAGAAGACTTCCTCTCGGACTGCATTCTGAACTAGAAAAACCGTATCACGTGCATGGCAAGTGGAGCTGAAGTATATGAAGCCCCATAGATGCCTTACGAGACATATATCACACGTACAGTACACACACATACTAGCGTTAAGAATCTATGAGAAAACTAAGATTTATAAGCTCTTGAGAGGTTCTTCGAGTGCAAGGTAAATTAGAATTTCTGAAAGATCAATTTTTTTAAGATCGTCTCTGTATAATCTTTTATATTGTATCATGTAATCTCTAAGATTGTGATATTGAAGTTGTAATTATTTCAACTGGATGTAGACTTATTCTGAATGGAACCATTGTAATTGTGTTCTTCTAGTTCTTAGTTTGTTCATTCAATTCTTTGTGCAGTTTTGCATTCTTAGTTAGAGTTTGAATCACTAATTAATTAATTCACAACATTTTCTATATATAACTTTAAGGAGCTCCAATGATCATATGTTTGAATATTGTATTTTAAATATATTTTTGTTTTAATTAAAATTAAAAATATTTATTTATTTATAATGAATATTCCTATTGAAAAAATGGTCCGGGCAAACCCTATACGACTCAAACATTTCTTTACTACATAAAAATTTGGACATTCTTCAATAAAATCATACATAGTTACTTAAAAAACTTTCTATTGTAAAATCTCATCTTATACGTGAAATAAATAAATAAATAAATAAATAAATAATTGAGATTATTTGTCTTTACAGGGGCAGTTGGGTATTGACTTTCAACTGTAAGAACACTTCTCCACAAATTATATTTGTCAAAGAGGCCAATAAAAATCCAAATTGGGCAAAACCAAAGGAGTCAGACCTTGTGTTTGACCACCTTATATTACCCGTTAAACGATTTAAGATTGCAAGCCCAATCAACTTGGAAGGTAGACATTAATAATTAATTAATTATCTTCTCTTTGTTGTCATTAATTACTAATTATATTACTTTTATTCACAATGATTGTTGTGAATTGTGATGGAAATGGCTTCTGAAATATCAACTTATTCTTGACATATATATCATTATGTATAAAAGTAAGAAACGAAAATCTAAAAAACTCTAATGATATTTGTATTTTTTTTGAAATTAATTACATCTCTAATTTACCCAACTCTAATGATATTTGTATTTTTTTTGAAATTAATTACATCTCTAATTTACCCGTCTTTTTTCTCTAATGACCTTCGTACCGAATCAGATTTGCAAATCGGCTAGCAAAATCCTTTGCTAGGGGAACAGAAGTTGAAAATCGAAAATGTTAAAGTTTTCCATTTTTCATTATTCAATCAATCACAACACAGCAAATTCGGAGTACGACAAGTTTAAACCATTATTATTACTACTAAAACAAAAGCAATAACGAGTCGATCAATTCTATATTTTCGGCAGGAAAAAACGGAGCAACAGGCTATAAAAACAAGATTATAAAAGCAGCCACACATCCAAAAGTTTGTTGAGAATTCCTCCTTCCGTACGATCTTAACCTTTAGGCAGCGCCACAGACTTGGCTCTTAGATTCAGAAATATTGCCCTGCAAAATCGAAAAAAATGCCAAAAATTGAATTACGAAACCATATATTTATACGACAGAACAAATATCTTCGATTCGGATAAGAACGTACCAGAAACAGGCAATGCAACTATGAACTATTACTCGAAACTGTAGAGGCACGTACTGGTGATTAATCCATCCAACCACCGGCCAGAACTGCATCAAAAAAAAATGCCCCAAAAAGTAAATTCAAATTTATTTATTTAATTATATTTTTAATAATGTGCCGTTTCTAATTGATGGGCATTTAATATTACTTACACTCCATGCTGTATACTGGACAGTCGGATATTCCTTCTTGATTTTAGATTTCACGTGGATCCACGGTCTTCCTGTGATGCATGTTATAAAGTGAAGGCTCGTAAAACCAGCTACTAGATTATGGATTTTCGAGAAATAAAATTATATTCACACATTATTTCGACGAATATGAAGATCTACATAGGAAAAAAACGACATGGAAATATTGAATGGTGAGAATATAGAGACGACTCACCCTCGATGACTAAACCGTAGTAAATCATGAAAAGCATGTTGTTCCAAGGTGACGATGTCAGTTGCTCCAATACCACCTGAAAATGATTTTTCTTTTCGTTTAGTGTTTAATGATCGTATTTCATCCCCTATATTAATTCGATCGCTCTTGTAAGAGGTATCGTTTAGTGTTTAATGATCTCTTCGTTTAGTGTTTAATGATCTTTTAATCGTATTTCACCCCCCTATATTAATTCGATCGTTCTTGTAAGAGGTAACTTATCGACTTGATTGTACAAAAACCTAAAAATTCTGAAAAAAAAAAAAACTATTTCTAAATCCAACGGGCGAACAGATCGAGAAAGAAAAAGTAAGTTAGAGATGTACCTTCTTGGCAACCGTTTTCTTGTCTTTCTTCCCCTTGAAAAATTTATCGAGTGCTATGTGAAAAAAATGCCCGAACGGACCCAAATAGGCAGCGCCGAATAGCTGCATTTTTATGTATATGCCAAGTCAAATCATAACAACAATCTGCCAAAACTCGGTGCCACACAAGATAACGAACCAACATGGAAGCTCGTTCGTAAACATTTCATCAATTAACTAATCTTTCTTTGCAACGATGTCAATTTAGACTATCAACTGATGCAGATATCAAATTGCAACAAGCAAGAATTTGGAAGTGCCGTTTAGCTAAATCAGAAACGCGTTCGATTCAATCGATCGTGTTTGATTACAGTAAGCAAAGTAATTTAGTTCTGGAAAAATCAATACATTCCATAATTCAAACACAGTAAAAAAATCCCCCAAAAAAAAACAATTACCACTTTGAGGAGGAGGCGCTTGATCTGAAGTTTGGGAATGCCGGTGAGCTTCTGTGCCACTATATCACTAATCGCCGACAACACCCCCGCCGTTATAACCTATACGAACCAACAAAACAAAATCCCAAATTCAAAATCAAATCAGTATACAAAAGAGAAAGTCAACGTCTCTCTCTCTCTCTCTCTCTCTCACCTTGGTCCGCAGAGGGTGTTGTTGGAGCTGACCCAGATACTGCTGCAAACCCTTCTTTGCTACAGATCCCATCCCTTCTCTCTCTCTCTCTCTCTCTCTCTCTCTCTCTCTCTTTCTCTCTCTCTCTCTCTTAATTATTGTACCACCGGAACTGGAAGTGAGAGAAAGACAACTGGGAAAAAAAAAAAAAAAGCTCTTTCCGCCGCACCTAACACTAAACCACCTTCGTTCGGGTCTGAAATACGAATCCAATCCGAGATTCTAGAAATTTGATCTTTGATTAATACAATTGTTTACAATAAAGAAGGGTGGTGGACTTAGACTAGAGAGTAGACGATAGCGACGAGGGCACGGCAATGGCGGGCGGATGCCATGGTAATTTAATCGCTAATTAACTTTTATTTTTCATTAGAACAAATGTAATTAGATTATTAGAATATTGTCATCACTCAATTAGTATTCCAGTCCACAAAATGGGTCACAACGGATGATGACCCGAACCATTTGGTAGAAGATTGAAAAACTGAATGGGTCAGCCCGGCCCATGAGCCCGGTCAACAAAACCTCAACTCTTCTCTCTAGTCAATACTTTTTTGTTACTATAATCTTTTTGGGAACATATATATAATGACTTTTTTTTTTCTTATTATAAGTAATATATAATGACTTGAAATCTATAGAAAAATTAGTTGAATCTTCTTATAGAATATTCTTCAGACCATATTCGAACTCTACATTTTGAAACAAGATGATTATAAGATGTGTTTCTCTTGGCTTGTAAATACCAGATTATATAACGAGTACAAACTAGAGAAACATTCGGAATCTACAAGATTCTGTTGAATTTCACATCATAAGGATAGACGTGTAGCACATAACGAGTACAAACTAGAGAAACGTTCGGAATCTACAAGATTCTGTTGAATTTCGCACCATAAGGATAGACGTGTAAGAAAATTCATAATTGAGGATGGCGGTTGTAATTACCCAAACATGAGGGGAAGTTTCTGTAATTTGACCTTACCTCGTGGGGTGACCGTAATTTACCCGAAAAAATAATGTCTTCTACATATATATCCATCTACTCAAACAAACCAACAATTGCCAACAAAAAATATGTCATTTATATCAAAGGGGAAACAGAAAAATAGGTAGGCCAAAGTTAGAACTATTCCAACGCAAACTCCCAAATAGAAAGAAAAAGAAGATCAATTGATTGTAGCATTTTCATTGTTCATAAAAACCCGAAGAAAAACAAAACAAATTTCAGATGTAACAATCATTCCGGAAACTTCAAGAACAGCGGAAAACAGTCAAAAAACCGAAAAAGTTACGGCTTGTAATACTTGGTGGCAACGAAGGGCATTTTCGTCACAGCGCCATCATACGCCTTCCCTCGGATCACAATCTTCAGCTTCGTGCCCGCCTTGTGGTTTCCAGACTTGACATACCCCATGGCAATATTCTTCTTCAGACAGGGGCTGAAACCCCCGCTCGTGACCTCACCTATGTTCTCTCCCTTGTCATTTTGAATCTCGCTGTGACCCCTAGCAGGCGGGCCCGAAGAGAAGATCCCGACTCTCCTGATCGACGGTCCAGATTCAATCTGCTTGAGTATGACATCAGCACCCAAGAACCCTCCTTCAGCCCTTCTTCTCTTTCCAACTGCCCAAGTGAGACCGGCTTCGATCGGTGTAATGTGCTGCTCCATGTCGTTACCGTACAAGCACAGACCAGCTTCCAAACGAAGACTGTCTCTAGCTCCAAGCCCTGTTAACCTAATTTTACCTTCGGATTTTTCGAGAATTGCTTTTGCCAGATCAACTGCGTTCTCTGATGGAACCGAAATTTCGAAACCATCTTCACCTGTGTACCTGAAAAAAGTCCACAAAGATTGCATTTTTTTCGTCTTTTCACTGATAGTTTATACAAGGTTAAATTCATTGATATATACCCTGTTCTAGTGAGGTAGCAAGTTGCTCCGTTGATATCCAACACATGGAAGTCGCTAAAGTACATTTTGCTCAAATCCTCTTTCGTCAGGTGCTGCAAAACCGGGGCAGCAAGTGGGCCCTGCGTCGAGATACTAAGACGATCAATAGAAGTACGCACAACATTGGCTAATAATACAATGTTTATTCACATGCTGCTGTAGTTGTACTAATATTTTCGATCTTCCTAAAAGAATTAGAAACTCAATCACCCTTTTTCGATCCAGTGAGAAAAAAAATCACTTTTTTGAAAACCCACGACATAAATTTAATAAACCAAGAAGAAAATACGATACACCATTCAAGAAAGTCAAAAAGTCAAAACCGTAATATCACGCATTCTTTAGCATGCCTAATTTCCAATTACTCTTTTTCACCAAAACCGCAGAAGTTTGTGAATGATTTCATACAAGATGGAGAACAAACAATAACGAGAAACGTGAAAGGAAAAAAAAAAAAGCGACCTGGAGAGCCAAAAGCGACCTCTCATCGTGAATGTGCCAAGAAACATCACCGCCTTTCGACGTGAACGCCTTCATGTGCTCTTCAATATGGGCGAGATCTTTATCCCTACACCCCGCATTTACAACCACGTATATATGTTCATTGGTCACTTTTGTGATAACTGAATCATCAATGGCACCACCCTTCTCGTTTGTGAATACGGTCAAGCAGCCGGTTCCAGGTGCAAGACCCGCCACATCAGCGATAACGAGCTTCTCGAGAAAAGGGATACAGTCCTTCCCTTTGAGGCTGAGACCACACATGTGGGCGACATCAAACAGGCTGCCGTTTTCCCTGCAGTTCAACGTGGAGTCCATGATGGAGTCCTTGTACTGAATCGGCATACTCCACCCTGCAAAGGGAACCATTTTCCCACCATGGGCGACGTGGAAGTCGTACAGAGCTGTCTTTTTTAGATCGGCTTCTGACGCAAAGCATCGACGGGTGACGTTTTTCTTTTCGGCTTGAGCCAAACGGCGAGTGATTGACTGGCCGAGCTGCCACAGATTCCCTCCTCTCATCTTTGTGAATTTCTGATTAGAAAAAAGAAAAAAAAAACAAGAATGATGGATTTATTAAGATGGGGAAATCTGGATTAACAGATCTTTAATGAGTTATATTAAGACAAGAGTTTAAAAATTAAAACAATGTTATAGTGAATTAGTTAGCCTCGGACATAGGTCATAGCATAACAGGAAGACAATAAATCTACACTACGATTGGAAATCACAATAAAAATCCAATCTTTTTTCTTTCTACATCGTACGGAATAAACATTGGATTTGAGGTTTAATCAGTACATTTAATACGCATCATTTTCACAACCCATCAAACGAATTAATACAGGGAAACCAGTGTGCGATGTGCTTACAAATACAGATCCCGAAAGAATCTCACCAGCCCACAAATGGAAAAAAAAAACAATCTTGAATTAATTCTTCTTATTATTCAGAAACATTGAAATGCAAGCATTCAGATTCAAAGGAGAGACGAAGAACACACAGTACCTGAACAACTGACGGATTATTTTTCCTTGAAAATTGTTAAGTGGGAACCCAATTAAGCATATCTTTATGAGAAATATATATATATATATATATATATATGGAGAGAGAAAAAAATATGTTCTTTATTGTATTAATACTTAAGTAAATAAATAAAAGAAATGGGATTTAGTGGGTGGCGGAGGCTTTCTCAGCCAAAATCAGAACCCATCTTCAGTGAGTGGTGATACGATTTTCAATTACCCACCAATTTCTGTGTCTGCTTGTTTGGTAAGGGAATGGTACTTGTGAGGGTAAAATGGGTAAATCCATTATTCCTCTTTTTTCTTTTTCTTTTTCAATTTCTCTGAACTTCTTCTTGTCATTAGCTTCAAGTTGATTTATGATCTTGAATTTTTTAATCATCGTGAATATAAAAATAAGTCCTTCAATTAGGTGAGGAATGGAGAATTGTGTTAAGTTGTTAACAACTAAACTGCACCTAACTAGCCTGAGCTATAATAAAATTCAATTTGAAGTTATTTAAAAGTTGTGAATAATTTGACATATAGATTATATAAATGGTCAAAAATCAAAATCAATAAATTACAAGGACTGAAGTGAGATTTCTTGAAACTGTAGGGTGCACTTTGAAAATTGCCCCAAAAACGACGTCGTATGAGCTTTGTATCTTGTCGCTGCTGGAACTTCAAACACCAGGAGCCAGAAAAATTGAACTAGAAATAGTGGCAATCTCCAGAGCCATTCACAAAATCCGTGGGGCCCATCAAATTTCAATTCAGATTCAGATTCTTCAGACATATCTTCATATCCATTTTTGTTTTCTGTATAAATTTACACCAACAAGCTTGATTCTTGATTTTTCCTTCTGTTTGTGCAAAAGCTTTATGTTTTTGTTTCTCTCTCTTTGCAGATGAAATCATCTAGGCCCAGATAAGGTTAGTTGATTTTTCAATGATTCTGCTGTCTTTTTGTCTGCAAAAGTTCATGTTTTTTTCTAGGATGGATCATCGTTTTATGTTTGTTTTCAGCATCTAAAATTATCAAACTAGAAATTCTGATGGATCATTCTTTTTATTTGATGGTGCAAAAATAAAAATAAAATTTGCTATTTTTAAGGTTTCCAAGATTTTTGTTCAACTATGTTGACGGTCCATAATCAAGGAGCTTTTAGCAGTTGCCTAACACATACAATCAAGAACATGCTGCAAGATACTACTAATGCCAAGTTAATGCATGTTAATTCCTTGCTTCGTATTGTCGATTCTACGGGCCCCGTTAAGTTCCAATGTAATAAGGGGTGGTCGAGCTGGTTTTTCTCGCCGAATTACACCAATCAACTCAAACTCCAACGTTTCTCACACCAAATCACTTCAAAGAGATGGCTGGTGAAGTTTTACTTCATGCCCTTTCTGTATGTGGTCTAATTTCCACTTGGACCGTATTTTCTTGTATTGATTTTTATGATTTTGTTTCTCTAGTGTCGATCTCAAGATTCCATCTCTCCCGAAAACGAATACCGATCGTCGCGCAATATAGCAATCAGCTTGTTTAGGCGGTACCGGAATTTCATCGACCGTGGAGGAGGAGACAACCTAAAAGTATATTCTGCCATTCCGACTTTTTAAAAATAAATTCTCTCTCCTGCCAGGTCGTTATTCTGTTCTTATTTATCGGCTGTTATATTAATGGAAATGATACTTAGGAGTTCATCAGCGCCGGTGTGAACGCATACGCATTGGGATGCACCGACGAAGGCCTGAGAAAAGAGCTTACTGATATGAAGGAATCTGGAGTTAAAATCGAAGCAATGGAAGCTTACAGTGGAAGTACAGGTCTCAAGTCCAAGATTATCTCCCAAGAAGTATGTCAAATTACTATCTCTACATTTTATTTTATTTTGTATTAATTATGTCAAAATTGATTTTTTTTTTTTTTTCGTGTAGGTTGATGAATGTATAATGTGGCTGAGCATTGTATTCATCACAATTCTCTGTACACCACAACCAACTATAGTTAGATGGTCGTCGACACCTCCGGTGTCGGACGAAATGCTGTCACAATGGAAGGGCTTCTGTGCAATTATAGCAAATGCCTACTACATGAGAGGAATGGCTTGGTGAGAAGAATCCTCCTATTTTTTTTTTCTGCTTTTATATATCAATTCAATCCTAACTTATGTACAAATTGCATTAATTCAATTCAAGGCTACCTGTGAAGACTCTCCAATTGGAGCAGATGGCAGTAATGGGCCGTGCTGAAGAACCGTCGCTTGTGGCTAGCCGAATGAGAATTGTGTTTAGCACACTCGAGGTCAGTTTTTTCTTCAGACAACATTTCATTAAAGAGTTCAAGAAACGAACCTCGTATATATCGCATTGGTTCATTGAACTGTTTCTGTTTGTTGTCAAATGCAGATTGTGAGTCCACAGTGGCCCAGAGTATGACAGCTGTTGCTCCCCTTTCGAGATACGAAATACCTTTGCCAAGATTCAGCCAAATGTGAAAATTGATTCGTCATGTGTACGTGTATAGTGCAGGTGTTAACTGTTTCAAGTGTCTATAAAACTATCTTGAATAATGAATAAAATCTTAGCATTCATTCATATAACTTGTTTATCACAAACAAAAATTTGATACTGTTATCACTTGCTCTGTGTTTCCTCATGTTACAACAACTAAAAACGATACCGCTGAAAAGAAAAATGTGAAAATCCATCGATCATAAAGTTCATAAACCTATGTGATTGACAAATACTAAATCCATCACGAGTTTGAACCGGGAACAAGGGCAATATTGTCTTTTAGCGCTTTCCTTGCACGCCAATGGACTGCTGCCGCAGTTTCAGAACTTCCCATCTGGTATATGAAGATTATGAGCATCAGAAATCATGTTCACTTAACTCCAAACTGAACGACATAATTAATTATATATCTTGAACTACTTCATTTTCTCTCAAAATGAGTTTATGTTTATAAGAGATAAGAGAGATCTGGGTTTACCTTAACCTCCATGGAGTGATAGTCTTGCCACAGGCTTGCATCTTGATCATAAGTTGCAAGGGCAGATTCGTAAATTTTCCGAGCATTGGGAAGACCAGTCTTGTCGCCGGTAGATGCAAGGTTCAACTCAAGCTCGATGCAATTTTTGTATAAAGCCAATCCTGGATGTGGTAAAGCGAGAAATCTGCCCTCGGAAAATAATAATATATCAGAAACCATAATATCTAATGCTGAGTGTGAAAAAGAAAAGGTCAGAAATAAAACGAGAAACCCACCGCTTATACATCTGTCTTGAACTGTCGACTCCATCTCTTTCAAGAATAAAATTTACGATAGTTGATGAGAGTGAAAACCCACTATCACTTCCACCATCTCTGGTCAGTGAAGAAAAAGAAGCCTCCACAAGCTTGTCAAAATGATGTCTGTGGTTTGCAAAATATTTTAGCCCCTACAGAAAAAAATGCAAATAAACGTCATAGGTAAAACCAGGATTCGAAAATTTCTTACATTACAAGGAAAAAATTCAATAAGCATATATATAAATTTCAACATACCATAGTCCACAAGTCTTCTGCTTCTGAAACGCTAACTTTCATCAGAATATTTCTGAGAAGTTGAAAGATATATAGTAGATCAGCCTTGCTCGGAGAAGGAGATTTATTCTGAATGCATTTCATTTCTACAGAAAGACGTAGAGTCCATAAATGCACTGCATCTGGAAATTTACCAGAGCAAAGCTTTTCTAACAGGATCTTAGCTTCGTCCAATTTTCCAAGGTTCAAAAGAAAAGAAACATATTGGCAAGCAAGATCTTCAGTAACACACCCCAGGTTCTCAGCCCTCTCAAATAACACCTTAAGATGTGAAACAATTTCACCGGCGATTTCCCCTTCCCTGTTTTCATCACTGACTGCATCCATGAGGAACTTTACATAAAGCTCGACCATCCTAGCCGATGGTACAAACTGTAAACCCTGCTCGTAAACCTACAAATGTACACATGCAAGGTGAAAACAGAATGTAAAATTTCATGGTTAATGGGATCAAAATGCTGCAACGGACTCAAAAGTAAATGTAAAATAGCTTGTAGTATGAACACAGATTCAGTATACTGACATCTTTACTATCACATTATAGCCATTTTACTGGTTGTTGATTACCTAAACAATGCAACACAACTAGTACGGTGCAATATGGTATTGTTAAACGCTGCAAGGACATACATGCATCAGAACTCGTTTATCTGAATGTATAACTAAATTGATGTGATCGAACTCCAAGAACAGTTGACGGCGATCTCCTATACCATGACCTATCAACTACCTTCGTCCTTTTACTGAATACTAATTCACTCAAGATTAAATTTCCACATAAGTGATATGCCGACAGTATGGATGTTAAAAAAAACGAATATAAAAGAGCAAGAGAGGCAAGAAAAAAATTAACACCTCGACTGCTTTGCCTAACTGCTCAGAATTTATTCTTTTGACGTCAGCTATTTCAACTCTTGCAAGCCAGTCCCAGTATAGTGGCTCCTCCGAGAAGTCCCTTCTCATGTCATCAAGTATCTTTTTCCGCATTTCTTCCGACCGAGCCAACTCAGTTGCTTCCAGCATATCAAGAAACCGTGTCCTGAGGCCGAAGGCTTTAGGTAGGGCTTCAATCGCGCTAGTATAAACAGTTTCAAGAATGTTCAAGCCATGTTCGCCAAACACGTCCACTTTCCCCTCAGATTCACCGTTTTGAACACCACCAACTTCGCCATTCTCATTGAGTGCCATAAATAATTCCTTGTTCTCATCTCTCCATTGCTTATCATCAGCATTCCCTTGAACACGAGCTAGGGTTCCCTCATCCTCTCCTAAGGCAACCTTTCGAGCTTTCAACTTGTTGAGGTACGTGAATTCCATTCGAAGATACTCTACCCATAGGTCCTCGGAAGTCGGGCACGTTCTCAAACCATTTTGCATAAGAGCTCTCGCAGCTGCAACGTTAAGATTGTTGTCGAATTCCCAGGCGGCAGCATAAATCCACACACCGGCTACTTTCGGATGAAATCTAACTAATTGAGCCAGAGCCTAAAATTGATTTACACAGGAAATAAGAATGCGAATCCATTATAAAGTAAACATTCATCAACACAGGAATATAATAACACAAAATTAACCATCACATTTTGAAATACCTTTTTCATCCTGCCGTGCCCTCGCGCTTTACAAAATTCCAAGTACTGAAACCACAGCTCAATATCACCCTTAAACCGCGTTGTGGCAAGCCGGTAAATTTCGAGGATCCTGGAAACGCCGGCGTAATCTGAGACGGACTTCTTCAATTTCTTATCGCCGGATTTTTTCAAAAAGGATTTTCGACGGAGGATTCGGAGGGCGTCGAGTTGCTTTTCGTAGTCTATGTAGGTCAAGTAATCTTGCTTAAGGGGACTCGGCCTCTTCAGGCGGTACTCGAACTTCCGACGCTGTTTGACTATCTCCGCTATCTCCTGTTTGCTGAACAAACCGCGACGGTCTAGGTCTTCTAGCTCGTCGAGCATGCGCTCAAGCTTGAATTGAACGACGTCCGCCATCGTTGAGGAACTCTACGCAACCGTACGTTACTTTTCTTCTGCGGGGAAGTGCGGCGGCGGCGGCGTAGGGGGTGGAAGATGGCTCTGTTTTCCGTGTCTGTACTCGTTGAGTGAGAATGAAGAAGAAGATGATGTTAGCGGGCTTCAGAAATGGGCTAACTAGGGTTAGCCGTTTGAATATTAAAATTTGATGAATCTTAATCGGGCTCAGAATTCGGGCTTCTTTTACTCAATGGGCCTCTTACTTTTTACCCGCATGTTAAAATTTGATGAATCTTAATTGGGCTCAGAATTCGGGCTTCTTTTAGTCATTGGGCCTATGCATTTTACCCTTCTTCTTTAAGCCCATTGAATTTTAAACTTTTATTCATTTTTTTTAGGAATTTTGTCATGAATGTGTAAATAAATCGAACAGGTGAGCATATATCAATTGAACCAGTTCGAATTCGTTTGCCAACGATTCATCTTACGGAGTTTCATAATAGGGATGCAATAACCCCCTCAAATGGAAAATATTTTGAACTAAACCCAATTGACTATTAAAGACTTTTGCATACACCCAAGTTTCATTCTTAATTAGTGAGACCCCCCTAACTAGACATGATAAGACTAAAGTGCCCTTATGTGATTAGGTTTTTAACGTGATATAATTTATTTCACTCTTTTACTCTCCCTCTCTCTCTCTCTCTCACGTTCTCAATCTCTCCTCTTCTCTTCTTCTTCGTCTTTTTTTTTTTTCTTGTTTTCGTCTTTTGGCAGATCTGTATATACGCAAGTATTTTTGGGCGAGATCGAGGTGCCTAGTCGTCGTCTTTGTAGCGCTCTACTATGCTTGGTGTCGAAGAAAAATTGCGTCGAAAAAATCAGAGATTGTATGGAATTGTTTTTTTGTTTTTTTTTCTTAATTTAGTCTATGGATTATAATGTTTGGTTCGAAATTTACGAGCGTTTGTTTTGTTCAGAGCAAAATGTATGGGGTTTGTGTCGTCCGAGTTGTATCTGATTTCATTTTATCTCGATTTACAGAGTAGCTAGTCACATAGTAGTCATATTCGATGTTCTGTTAATAATTATGACTATTGTTGATTCACTCGATTAGTGATTTATGAATTTCTTGTTTGTTCCCCACTCTCTCTTTCATTCACCGTCGTTGTCGTCGCCTCCCCCTCCTTCTCTTTCGTTATTTTCGAAAAAAAATTCTCCAGATCTGGAGCAGAAGCATTAACGTGACTATAGTCTGGTTCGAATATGACTATCGATTAGTGATTTATTAATTTCTCGTGCTCGTTGTCTCTGTCAATTTCTCTCTCTTTACACCACCATCGTCTCCACATAAATTTGTACACCACCACCACCGTTGCCGCTCGTTGCCGCCGCCTTCTCCTTCGTTTCCACGTAAGACTCTTTCTCTCTTTTTCGTTATATTTCTCGTTTTCTCAGTTTTTTTCCAGATGCCACCACCACCACCGTCGCCGCCTCTTTCACTCTCTTTCCTTCACCACCGCCACCACCGCCGTGTCGTCGACTCCCATTCCTCTCTCTCGTTATTTTTCAATCTTTATTTTTGTATTTTTCGATTTCTTTTTCATATCTAAACAACAGCAGTAACGTGAATATAGTCATATTCGAATATGACTATAGTCATATTTATGTATTTTTCGAATATGACTATTGTTGAATATAATCTATCATCTTGTTTTCAAGTTGACTTCTAGTAAGTAGATTCAAATTGATTTTTTGTGTGGATATTGATTGGATTGTTTTCGTAAACAATAGGGAATCTTCGTTGTTTTATATGAATTGGTAAACATGACTATGCCATATAATCGAAATTTTTAAGTTCAAAATATAAAAAACAACAATATAAAGAAAGAATATGACTACAGTTAATATAGTCACATATAGTCATATTCAACTATAGTCATATTCGGCGTTGCAAACCTGTGGAGAGAAAAAAATCAATTTTTTGTATAAAAAAAATAAAAAAAATAAAAAAAAATATTTTTATTAAAAAATATTAAAAATAAAAATAAATAAAAAATGACTAAATAAAGTCCGAAAATAATATAAAATATAAAATAAAAAAATAAAGTCCGATTTTTTTTTTTTTTATTTGGTAGCATTTTTTTAGGAATTTGGAAGCAAATTTTTAGGAATTAAATTGTTATTATGGAAAGAGAGAGAAAAAGAATAATTGAGATAAATTATACTAATTATTCCTAATTAGGGGATTTAGGTGCTCATTAATAGGATTTGTAAATAGTGCGGATTTAGTTGTAAATAGTAGATATTTATTAAAAAAAACATCCGGATTTAGTTGCCTTGTTAATAGGAATTTTGTTAATACTAGATAATTATTAAAAAAAATGGGTAGTATAAGGGTAAAATTGGAAATAAATATTTTAGGGGGTTTTCACAAAGGAAGAATTATGGTATGGACATATCACTATTTTTTATCTATAGGAGGGGTGTATTGCTAATGACCCCTTCAAAATATATCGGATGAAATATATTTTTTTTTATTATGTACTTGTGTTAATAAATCAACTCCAACAAATGATTTCATATCAAACAGAGAAGACAAAATAGAATCTAAAATTAGAAATACAATTCATATATAAATAAATAAATTATTAATTAATAATATAAAAACAAGGGGCTATTTGATAAACACCCTCCATTGCAATTTGACTTCTTGATAAATCCAATTTTAGGAGTTGATATTTGACATAAATCCAATCAAACTAAAATACCCTATATACCCCAACTAACTAGTATATTAATTTAAAATAAAAAACCGGTCGATATATGCAAACCCTCCCAGATTACAAAACCGAAAAATCCTCCTTATAATTATGCCCCAAATCACGCCCGTAATCCACTCCAACATCGTCGTCTTCTTCGTCCCGCTTTCACAAAGCCCATCCAACAATGGATACTGTTCTTGGGGAAGGCAGTAATTAGAGGTTAAAACCATATTTTTTTCATTTGCAAAAACCCAGTTATTGTTGATTTGTGTCTCTGCAAGATGGTTCAAAAATTAACAACGAAGAGTAAGTGATTACGGTATTTTGTTTTTTGAGTTAAATCGATTTTTTGAATATTGCAAGTAATTTACAAGAATGTTCTTAATTTTATTCTGCATGTGTTTCTCGGAAAGGGCAAACCATTACAGGAAGAAGAATGTCGAAAATCAAGGCCTGACATTGTGGAATTAGATCCTGGTGAGTATGAATTCAGTAATCGATATATATGTGTCGTTAACTTATGCTTCGTTGTTGTAAAAATATTCATTATTATTGGTTTTGTGATATGCATGTTTGAGCACAAACCAATGTGTAGGTTTTGTTTATCAGTTTTTGACTACGAATATTAATATGTTGGACCTATACAGGAAATGTATGGTTTTTAATGGATATGCGTGGTTTTATAGTTTCTTGTTTTTTTTTTGTTTGAGGATATGCGATGTTTGACCCTTTATGTTAAGTTTTGAACTATGTTGTATAAAGAAACTACTACTTGGTTATTGGAGTTGTATTAATGCAAGAAAATTAAAGGGTGGATTAAAATTATGTATGGTGTTCAGATTGTGAAGTACAGTGTGGTTATCAGTTTTATGTTGTGTGGATTTATAATCTACGTTATGTGGTTTGGCGAGGTTTGTAAGAATATATGGTATAACATAATCATATGCGGTTATGTAGTATGTATGTTATGTGGTTTTTATCCTTTTAATAGATAAAAATCTTATGCATAATTTGTTATGTGGTTTTTATCATTATGCAATAAATGTTCTCTGGTTTTGGGAGGCATACACAGTATATGTGGGTTTTAGCCATATACAGTACATGTTAGTGGTTTTGGGGGGTATAGGCAATAATTAATATGTCCAATTGTTCTTGTGAGTTTGAATTCTACAATATATGTTATGTGATATTGGTAACACATATTATGCGGTTTTGACAAATTACGTAATGTGGTTTTTATCCTTTTAATAGGTGAAAATCATAAGCAGTATAAATTATGTGGATGATCCTTAGGCAATGAGTGTTTTATGGTTTAGGGAGCCATAAATAGTTTATATGGTTTTTATCTAATGAAGTAAATGTTTTGCTGTTTGGGGAGTTATAAGCAGTGTATATGGTTTTATATGGTTTTGGATAGTTATGTGGTTTGACCTGAAATTTGTAATCTTTAAACAGAAAGCTGCCGTGGATAAGACGGGGAGATATCACAATCTAGATCTCCCGTACGACGAAAAAGTGGTTTTAATGACCGATGCTCCCCAACAAAAGAGTGACAGTGTCGACTGTGGGGTAGTTGTGTGCTACATCGTAAAGCACTTCTTCCAAAATAAAATTATTACAAAAGCACAAGGTGTGAATGACATTCCCAACATGAGAATAGAGATCGTCGAGACTTTACTTGAATGGCGCAAAAATAAAGTATATATTCGACGTAATAGACGAAAATACGTAATCTTTTGGAATGGGTTATGTGGTTGTTTTTTTTCTGAGATTTTTTGTTATGAAATTTTTTGGGATACACTTTATTTATCGTTAAACATTATGACATATGGACGTGCAGGTTATTTACTTTATTTCTTTATTTTGCAACTTTTTGGTCGTTGTGTAAGCATATTGTATGGAATGCAGTACGTTTAGTTTGCATTGTGGAGTTTATTCAATAAATTTGCATTATAAATTATTAAAAACGGTTTGTTTATGTAAAAGATAGTAATAATGTTATGTGGTTTTCACCTTGTGTGGTGGTTTTGTTATTTATATCATTGTCTATTGTTGGGGATCATGAAAAATAGTGTTGTGGTTTTGGTAGTGGATATATGTGTGGTGTTAGTACAGTGATTTTTGGTAACTATTGTATGTGGTTTTTGGTAATGACTCTATGTGGTTGTTGGTGATGGATATTTGTGCAGTAAGTAGTTGGTAATGGCTATATGTGGTTATTACTGCACATGTGGCTATATGTGTAGTAAGTAGTTGGAGTGTAAACTCTCTGATCGAACAAAGAATTGTTGTGTATTATGAGATGACTAACAAACAATATTTAGTGTAGAACATGTCTGCTAACAACAATATTTTTCTTGTTTTGTGTGACTAATGCAAAAAAAAATTAAGAGTAAAAATTCACAGCATAATGCTCTATATTATAGTATCGAATAAGTAAAAACCACTAATTTCGGGTCCTTATTGTGTTTTACATTCTGTTCCAGAATACATGTACTGTTTTACATTACAAATTCAAATTACAACGAAATTGTGTCCTTACATATGAAATGACGTGTGTACGGACACATAATAAATGCAGCGTAAGAACGATATCAATATATTTTTCTTGAAAAAATTACGACATTGTTGCTAATGAAGTCAAATTCGAAAATTGTATTATTAGTCCCAAAACCACTCTGTATAACAACTATGTCAACATAAAAACGACTCTATATATACAGTTATATAAACATCTGTACAAAAATTATTGAAAACCACTATAATTTTTGTACAAATTTTTATAGTGGTTTATGTAAAATATTGAAAACCACTATAAAAATTTGTACTTAGAAGTGAAGCAAATACTAACTCTGTAAGCAAATATTTCTCTAATTTTGCATCAGTTGGAAAAGGCCATCTACAATGTTCAACTTCTAACCAACAACAAATAATCGAACAACCTCAATCAAAAAATCACTCCGCGCAGCCTTACGCCAAACATACGTATGTGTGTGTGTGTGTGTGTGTGTGTGTCTATATATATATATGTATATATATATAAAATCTCGATTTTTTTGTCACTTCTACAAGAAAGAATCGAATCAAATAAACAAATTTCAACAAAGAAGAAGATTTACAAGTTCCCAAAACTTTCTGAATACGTCTCATAACCAAAGGAATATCCTTTCCGATAAAGTGCTGAGCATAAACCGAACCTCCAGGCTCCACACACCGACAAGAAGATCCCGGAACAAAAATCGAAGCCTTTCTCTGCAAAAATCGATACTTTGCCGAATAAAAATTCGGTTTTCTACAACAGAAACCCTACGAAATCGGATTTCCGGCAAATAAGCCTCCGAGAAGTTGGATGTCGTCACTTGCTTCAACGACCATTGTTTGCCGTGGTGGTGGTGGTGGTGGCGGCCCCAGCAGAAATCGTGCGAAAACGAATTTCCGGCAAAGCCTCCGAGAAGTTGGATAACGTCACTTGCTTCAACGACCATTGTTTGCCGTGGTGGTGGTGGTGGTGGCGGCGGGGCAGCATAGGTGTGGTCTGTGTAGAGAAGGATGAACGACAGATCTAGGGTTTGGATGTGGGACTTAACAAAGAAATAGAGAATAACTGAATATAAAATATAAAATATAAATAAACGTGATAAAAGAAAAAGGTTATAATTGTCAAACTATATTAATTTTTATTAATTTTAATTGTTTTGGATTTAACTCAAAAATAAGAAAAATATTTGGACCCATTGTAATTAGAGGGGGCTAATGAGGGGTGTTTGTCAAATTATCCCTAATTATCCCTAAAAACAATTTATAGTGGCGGAGGAAATCTATTGGCAGCTTTCAAGGTAATAGTCCACCTTCACTTCCATCACCAAGTGAACCACCGCCCACGCTGGTTCCATTGCCGGCGCCGGCGCCATCTTTAAGGCGTCCAATGTCACCAGTTCCATCTCCCCCATCGAAACCCCATCCATCACCTCTGTCGAATCCTCCAGCACCCAGTCCTCCCTCGCCGCTGCCAGTCCTTCCACCAAACCCTACTCCGCCGGCCCCGCCGCTGCCAGGCCTTCCACCAATCCCTGCTCCGACGGCACCGCCGAATCGAGCCCCTACGCCGCCTCTAAATCCACGGAAGGGGATCCCGTAAGGAGGGAAACGGAAACGGAAATACGCTGTCTGCACATCGGCAGCACTCTTCCCGGCGGGTGACATCCGGCCATTTACGGCGACGGCGAATGCTGCAATTGCAACTAGTAAGAGAATCTTAATCGCCATATCTCTTTTCCTTCTTATTTGCTCGAGTCTACTGAAACTGATTGTGAATGAGATTTTACTAGGTTGAGAAAGTATGGTAATTTATACTGACAATTAGAACAGAATTCATCACACTTTTTCTCCCTCTAGTTTTTGGTGAAAATTTGTTGACCAACATGTATTGCAACAAGATTGAATTTGGTGCCATCTTTAAATTGAATTTTCTTTTGTAAACAGAAACCAAACATCAAGATTCTGAATTAAAAATAACTGATTCAACAACATATTCTTCAGAGAAATTCGACAGCGAGAACGTTGTCGAAAACAAGTTCTGAGGTACAAATCGTACAATAGAGAAACCAAAAAAAAAAAAATTTTGTGAAGACAATGAATAGAATATATAACTCAGCAGCTAAAGTTGCGCTACTATTACTCCCTATATATATCCTAGTTCATATCATTTTTTTCCGGATGCCACATGTCACCCTTTCGTGACAGAAGCTTAATCCACGTCATTTCGAATTCAAAAAGGTCTAGTACGATGACCTCTTGCTCGGCCACAGAGAAGAGCATTCCTTGGAATGGGAAGCTCGTCTCTGAACGATGTTGATGGTGTGTAAACCCTTAGGTAGAATTGTTGACCAAGATATTGTCTTGCCCAATCCTCTGATCTTATATTCCACATTCCCACATTGTCCAATGCTACATATATTGCCGTCCAAGATTTCGGGTACACCTGTAATAACACCCCGAAAGAAAACACCATCAACGAGCAGCAAAAGGAAATCAAAAGAAGAAGAAAAAAAGAGAGACTAGCTTTATATGTACCTGAACAGTGCAACGGGCGACTGTGTCTCTCAAATTGTAGCGTAATCGACTTGCTTGAGTCCATCCTCCACCGTCCATTCTGTTAATTTGTTGAAAAATTTAGCCCAAAAAAAATGTTTTTAAGGATCAAGAAAGCATGATTAGATAGGTAGTAGTATATATTTTTTTATTTTTTTTGCAGTGTGGAAATATGGACTCACCCAACGACGAAGAAAGAGTATCCATCAATGTGCCACGACTGGAGGGTATTCTCCCAGTTCTGAAACACGACTTCTATAAAAGACCGATAATTAGCATTCATAACCGATGTTGCAAGATAACCGTTGCCATAGTTGGGCTTGTCTGAGATACTTCCAAGACTGTAGACCCCACCGATCTTGAAGTAGTCAACCAACTTCAACGGAGTATCGGGAGATACATACGAAACACTATTGACAGCGTATCTCAGTTTCCCGTTGATATTCGGAGCTGAGTTGGCAAGAATAATGGTCCGAGCCGGCTTGATCTCCCCGTAGTGGTATGAGCCTTGTGGGTTAGGTCTGGGGCCACTTGCTGTCAGGTTCCGTCTGATATTCAAGAAACACCAAAACATTAATCAAGATTAAAAATCGTTTCTTTGTTCGTTTCAAGATTTTGGGGATAATGTGTGTATATATATATTACCGTATGGATCTAGCCTGGTTTATAGACCAGTCAATCTGTGTGGTGGGTCCGCCAGGTGGGAAACCGGAAACTTTGGTGAACGAGTTACGGTAATGTAGAATAGCTGTGGTGGTGAGAACTGGAGAGGTGAAACGAGAAGACACTACAACGTAATAGTCCTTCGATGGCTGATTAGCTTCGACCAAGACTGAGTAAGACTGTCCTACGTGGACATCGAGCGAGGTGTAGGTATTCTGAACCGTGTGGGACCCTTCTACCTCTATCAGCTTCATCGAGTGACCCTCGATTCTGAAATTAACGGAGGTTGTCAGCCCCACGTTTGATATCCTGAACCTGTATGTTTTGCCTGGAAAGAAAAAAGATTGAACTTTTGGATTTAATTAATTAATTAATTAATTAAATCAGTTGATCAAGAAAGTTGGTTAATTCTTAAATTTAATTAACCTGGCTCGACTGTGAATGTATATCCGTTCCATCCACGCCCGTTGATTATAAGGCCGTCGGGAGATGGAAGATTGTGACCGCTATCCAAGATGTACTTGAGTTGCTGCAAGAAATCAAACAGAAAGAAAATATGAAATCAAGAATCATTGTGGGGTGTGATATCATCGAAGTCCCTACTCGAAAGACGGGCTTACTCTATGGCTTCTCTTGAACCAATCACCGGTGAGTACGACATAATCGCCAGCTGGAGGGGGAAACGGAACGGGAATCTGAGGACGGCTGTAGACTTTGATGCTGCCATATCCACCAGCTGCTTTGTGGAGAGCAAGTGAAGGGAAGTAGAAATAGGTTCCGATTTGGTCTTTTGCTTGGATGGCGTAAGTGAAGTTTTTGCCAGGCGGGATTGGACAATTGGTCCCGTAAACTCCGTCTTGCCACGAGTTCCTTCTTTGCTGTATACCGTTCCTGGAAATAAAAAAAAACAGTGTGGATTAAGTACTTTCTATACTCGAATATAGGAGCTATGCCACTTATTCAACACTACATTCAGAAATATGAAAACAATGAAAGATGCTATACAATGTCGTAGCTGGAGATCAATAGATCTAGCACGTGCAGAGTGGGGACAAACCCTAATGGGCTTGCTTCCTCCCTCTAACATTGACATTGACAAAAGACAGCTCTTTTATTATTATATATCAGGGAAAAAAAAAATGAAAGTAAGTAGATCTAGTAACACATTGATGCTGAGATTTGGGAGGATAATGCATTACTAGTAAAAATTGCAGAACATTCAGTGCAACAAAAAGAATGGAATTACCAAGAAAGGAGAAAAGGCTCGTTTAAGTAGTTGTAAACACTGATAATGAGGTTATCGTTGGTGACACAGTCAATCGTCGGCCCCGGAAACTGCCCGTTTATCAGAATCCCCTGCACCACCGCCATAACCATTTTCAAGAAAATCCAAGAAAAACAGAGCAATATTTGTGTAGAATCAATAATGTACCTGTTGTTTGACGCCGAGAGGGTAAATATCGCCGTAAGTGATTCTCCAGGTGTAGTATCTATAAGGGTTGTCTCCATTTACCCCCAGCCCATGTAATAACACAAGTAGCAGTGCTGCAAACACACTAGTGATGAGAGGAGACCTCTCTCTCATCATCATCATCATCATTTTCTCTCTCTACTTTCTTGAAAAGATACTTTCCCTTTTAGTTTTCTTTCTACCCTTTATTTGGATGTCAATAGCAGCAAAATGCAAGTGTTTTTAATGAGTTGAGAGGAGTGAGTTATGGTGTTCCATTCCGCCACCGCTTGCTTATAAATTGAGTACTTTGTTTGTGTGCTTAAAATTACGCATTTGCCACTGTCACGTGCTGCTGCCTCCCCCCCCCCCCTACTGCCAGTACCTCCCCTTTGTACTATCACTGCCAGCTCTTATTTTACTAGTATTAGTTTTCTTCTTAAAAGAATCAATATACTTATATTGCAATTTGTTCCTATTTCTAATCAATAAAACTAGATTCAATTCATTAACACCACTTGTTTGGGTAACTTCGTATGAACCAACCATCCTAACTTGGAATCGTTGTGAGTCAAGACTAACTCGTAAGTCAAGTGTTAATGAATCCGGTTGAGCGGGTACTTAAGACTTCGTTACATTTTCATCGAGTTTTAAAATTCATATATTTAAATAGACTGAATCCCAGCTTTAGTCGTACCGAATACAAATCAAGCTCAAACGGGCTTTTTATGATCGATCTCAAATGTGCGCATCGAGTGATTTTATTCTATTTTCGACTCTAATTGGATCTGCAGTGTTGGATTCGTAAATTAATTAATCTCATTTTCAACTTCAACAACCTCCACCGAAAATTGGTGCATGGTTTTATGAAATTTGGATTTTATTAGGCCAAGTACCTAACTTAACAATATAATATATTTTAGTATAGTTAGTTAATAATATTAGTGATTTTCTCCAATCTCTATGAGCGAGTTTTTCAAGGGGCCACATAATTATTTGTTGACTCAAAAATAAAAAAATTAAAGCCACTTGGCTACATACTATTACACGAAAATTGACTTAGATTTTACATAATGGGTATTCCATCGAATTTAGCCTTGATTACATGCAACAAAGTCGGGGGTGATTGCATGTGGTTGCAAACTTGCAATTAATGTATAAATATAAAATTATTTTATTAATTTCATGTTAGATCTATCTAACAACATGTCAATACTTATTAGTTATTACAGCGTGTCGGTGCAGATCATAATAAAAATAGCAAATCAAACGCGTAATTATTATTATTATTATTATTTAATTATTATTATTTAGGTTGTACAAAATTATTCATGTGAATTAATTCAATGAATTGGAAAAGGCAGAAACAACGCCCGCCTAGATTGCAGGTCTGAATTGAATAGTGTCACAATCTTATGATAACAGCTGTGCAAATTGCAAATAGGTAGTTGACTTAGAAAATGCATTTTCTCTTTCTCAAAATAAATAAAATAAAATAAATAAATAAATAAAAAGAAAAAGGCATTTTAATTAAATTAAAAATATGGACATTCAATAAGCCACGGCTCGTGAGCACTGTTTGGGTAAAAGCCATCTAAATAGCCGACGACAAGTTTCGTCTTGTTGTACATTAATATTTGGATAAATACAGAGTGTATTTTTAAGTTTATATATAATAATATTTTTTTTTAATTTAATAAATATTTTTTTAGAAAACACAAGTTTGTTCAACTTTTGTGGATGAAAGTGTAATTAGTCAAATCTGTGAGGGGCAGATTGTTAACAGTAGTCCAAAGTGATCACTGGGAAAAACAGGGAGCACCAAATTCTTGTTGTTGGTATAAAACAACCCTGGAATTGCATCTCTACCAATCAATTCAATCCCACTAATCTTGAAATCCTTCAATTTGCACAAAAACCGATCGAGCCGTTCTTGTATCGCGCGTTTCCCAGTCAGCATAGTGTTCGATTTCGTGTCGTAAGTGTATCCAATTTCTCCGGGCCTTAGCTCGGTCCATGCATCTAACCATCCTTCGGGCTTTGGGAAAGGCCCGTCTAGTTCATCATTCCAATTCATATCACCGCAGAATATCACGTTCCGACTGTTGTTGTCGAGAAATTTAACAGCTTCTTTCGCCTGAAAAACGCGTTCATTGCTGTACATTTGATCCCATTCCGGAGGCCTCGGGCAAGGGCTTTCTAAATGGCTTGTGGCAATGACTAGTGCCGTGTTTGGCTGCTGCATTTGGACTTCCGCAATGCAAAGTTCTCGCCCCATTATCGAATTGTGGAAAGGCTTGCAGCTGTACGATTTTACCGGCAGTTTGCATAGCTGCAAATTACAAAAAAAAAAAAAAAAAAAAAAAGTAACGTCGTCCCGAAAAGTTCGATTTAAAAGGTATAAATAAATTCTTGAAAGTTATATCACTCGCCTGCATGCAAAAGTATCGCCATCCCGAAAAGGCCTCGTCATCTGAAATCGAGCACATGTAACCTTTCCACCAATTTGATCGCCGGAAAATTTCGTAGATACCTGCGGTGACCTCCTGCATGCAGAATTATTGCACACGCATAACAATAATTCAAAAAAAAAAAAGAAAAAAAGGGGTCAATTTAAAGAAATTCAAATCGAAATTACGAAATCTGGCTTTAATTAATTAAAAAAAAAACCTGAAAACATATAACATCCGGGGAGTGGAGTTCGATAAGGTCGCCGAGTGCTTTCATCCTCTCGTGTATCTCGACATCTTCACGAAACCAAACGTTGTAGCTCAAAACCTTCCATATTGTTTTCGATTCATGATCGGTACATTCACTCGTTTCTGCACAGCGGCTTTGCTTTACATTATTACTACATACCCAAAATCTAATACCAGATAAACAGTTATTACCTGCATGCAGGATTTGAGATTAATTAATAAGGTATTAGTATACTAATGTAAATCACATCTACATTAATTACACAGATAATACCTTTAGAAAACATTTTCTGAACAGCAACTATGCATCAAACTTAGAAGACATCTTTTATAAAGAGTGGTTTGATTGTTCTTGTGCTTCCGTTCGACAAAATCGACGCATTCGCCCCTGTCACGTCGTGCTGCTGCCCACAACCCACGTTGCAATATCACTGCCAGCTAGCTCTTATTTTAGTACTAGTATATATGTTGCTATTTGTTCTTATTCTAGTCAAGAAATCAAAATTAAATCCCTTAATAAACTCATAATTTAGGTAATTAACTTCTTGTGAGTACTATATATTACAACCACCCAAGAGACCGATCCAATAAACAGTTGCTAAATAGAAATGTTATATTGATAATTCATTTAATTATCATTCAGTAAATTAGTAGGTCATTAATTGGTGCCTCTAAATTTGGAGTTGTGAGTCTTAATTATTGAAGACACAATCCCAACATTGCGAAACAATTTTTTACTCGGAAAAATCGGCAACAACTGGTGCATGATTTTATTCGAGTAGGTTAGTTAATAAATAGTTCACGACAAGGGTAAATTGGTAATTTCCCCTTTTTTTTTTTCCTCTTCCCTTTTTTGCTATAATCTATGCATATTTATTGATTTTTCTAATATATTCGCAACGCTCGAAAATGCCTTTGATCCTGTAATCCATGCCAATATTTCAAAAAAAACCAGCCATTTTCACCCTACTCCACAAAGTCTTGACATAAACTGTTAACAAAAAAATGCCCAACAGAAGTTTCCAACTTCTTCGAAAACGATTCTGCTACACACAAAATTACGCATAAGCCATTTAAAAAGGACAAAAGTGACGAACTTTTCTCTGTGGAGAGAACTCTTACTCAGTCAAAATCTCTGGGGGGGAGATTGTTAACAGCAGTCCAAAGTGATCACTGGGAAGAACAGGAAGCACAATCTCCTTAACCAGCCCTTTGACCTTCTTCTCCTTCGTATACGATACCCCTGGAATTGCGTCTCTACCAATCATTTCAATTCTACTAATCTTGAAATCCTTCAATTTGCAAATAAATCGATCGAGCCTTTTCTGTAGGGCCCGGTTGCCACTCAGCATAGTGTTCGATTTTGTGTCGTATGTGTATCCAATTTCTCCAGGCCTTAGTTCAGTCCATGCATCTAACCATCCTTCGGGCTTTGGGAAAGGCCCGTCTAATTTATCATCCCAATTCATATCACCGCAGAATATTACGTTCTGATTCTTGTCGAGAAATTTGACGGCCTCGTTTGCCTGAAAAATGCGTTCTTTGCTGAACATTTGATCCCATGATGGAGGGCTTGGGCAAGGGCTTTCTAAATGGCTTGTGGCCACAACTAACGCCGTGTTTGGCTGCAGTTCAACTTCTGCAATGCAGAGTTCTCTTGCCATGATGGAATTGTGGAAGGGTTTAGAGCTGTACGATTTTACCGGCAGTTTGCATAGCTGCAAAAAGAGACTCGGCTCAGTAATAAATCAAGAAAATATGTGTTTCTTGATTGGGAAGATCCAATTGGAAGGGTTTTCTTGCTAATTTACAATTTCCCAGTAATTTATGTTTCCTGTTCTTATTACTTTATTCATTAAATGCAAACCCCTCATATTTTTTTACAGACACTTGATAATCAAAGGTCGGAAATTGGATTCGAATATAACTTAGACATATAATATTATCACCTGCATGCAGAAGTATGCCGCTGGAAAGGCCTTCCCATTTGAAATTGAGCATCGGTAACCCTTCCACCAATTTGATTTTCGGAAAATTTCATAGAAACTGGGGGTGACCTCCTGCAGAATTGCATAGGCATAACAAAAAAGAAATCAAAAAAAAAAAAAGAAAAAAAAAATTACAAAATCTGGATATAAAACACGAGAAGGACGGAGAAAAACCTGAAAACAGATAACATCTGGTGAGTGCAGTTCAATAAGGTCGCCGAGAGCTTTCATCCGTTTATGCATCTCAAGATCTTCACGGAACCAAACGTTGTAGCTCAAAACTTTCCACGTTTTAGATTCATTGCACCGATTTGCTTCACCTGTGGCTGCATGCACGGCTTCCATTTACATTAGATTTCCAAAATCCAACACTAGAAAGATACCATGGAATCAAGACTAAAAATATTCAAATTATGCTAGTATAGTTAACGAGAATGTCACATCCAACTCTCGGATCCTTCCAAACGCACGTTGAGCACAAAATTGCCTCGGAGTAGCACATACTCAAATCACCGCTAAAACTCCATTCAGCAAATTTAACACAAAGGACGAAAATTAAAATCGGAAGTTTGTATTCGATCAGTTATACACATACACGCTCTCATCTCTGATTATAGGAATACGTCATAGCCTCGAGTACATTTTCAGGAATTAATTCTACACAACACCATCTTAATATTTCTGTAGAACACAATAATGCCACAATTTATAACCCAAATTACTTAAATTTACCAAGTTAGGTTACAGTTCTACGAAAAAAAACCCCAAATCATGATTAAGAAAAAACAGAACACACCTTGTGACTTAACTTCAATAGCTTTATTACTGCAAGAACCACCGGCATCACTTTCCGACCGATCTTTCCTCTTATTACTGCAAGGCTTTAACACCGCAGAAAACCCCCTTCCGCCTCCAGAATCAGACGCTCCACTGCCGCCATTACCCAAATCATTTCTCTCTCTATTTCCCAAACTACCCTTCAACTCACCATAACGGCCTCCATTATTACCACCGGCGCCGCCGGGGCTCGCTCTGTTACCTTTCTCGGCACCGCTAAACGGTCGGAGGGGCAAAAACACGGTGCCGGAAGAACCCAACTGAGCTTCATCGAGATCGTCGTCGTCGATTTCAAAAGTCGACAGTAGCGAAGCGGATGCCCTAGTTCCGCATATTTCGCAGATTGTGGAGCGATAAGGGTTCAGGAAAGTGCAGGAGGAGCACGACCACTTACTACCCAATTCCGACGACGACGATGATGACGTCAGGAGCGGCTGTGGTTGTGCGGAATGGCAGATTTCGCAGCTGGAATTTCGGGAGGGTGGGTTGATGAAGGTGCACTTGGAGCATGTCCAAGACGACATTTTTCCGATTGTTACGGAAAGGAATTTAGGGTTTCTGGGGAATTTGAAAGGGAGATGAAAAAGAAACTGGATTGATTTTGCTGTGTACATAACTAATTTGAAATCGAAAGCATTGTGGTTTTGCCGCTTATTGAACCAGTCCTCGGTCGGTGGGAACTGGTGAGATGAGTATATCATGGAATTTGAAGGGGTTTTCTTGCTAATTTATTATATTCTCATTATTACTTTTAGGCCCCTTGGGTGTTGTTTTATACAGATTAGGTACAGAATATATTTTTTCCCACCAATTACACTCTCCTAACATTTGAAGATTAATAATAAGTCATAAAAGGATAATTTTGTCAAATAAAAAACATTCCCTAAAACTATTTAATAGTTTATCAATTGATGTGCATCTACTTTAAATGAATGGTATATACTCATCCTTTCGACAATATCGGTTTATTTTGAGAGTTTGTTTTGTTCCATATTATCTTTTCACCTTATAATTTCAATAATACAGTAATTACATATTTTTTTAATTTTACAATTATTAACTCTTCAACATTATTCTGCATTAATTAGTAAACAATTGTATTTTGCTCTATCAATTTATAATTTCCTAAAAGTAAGAGATATTTATTGAAATTCTTAAAATTTGTGTAGGTGAAAAACGACTCCCACTTAGGACGTTTGATTGATTGTACTAGATTTAGTATCAAAATTATTTAAAATTATATACTACTAATTCCTTTTGTTTTGTCTCACATTCTTCATTAATGGGCCTTAGAAACAACAATACGAAGAGAAAAAAGAAAAGCCCACAATAAAAACAAACTCGAGCCCACAAGAGCCATGAATAATGAATCATCATAAAATACAAATCATATTTTACAATTGATGCATGAAACCAGACAAGTACTAAATTCCATAATCCCTACCCAAAAAAAGCCTGACTAAGTTGTTTATTGAGATCAACTTTTACACATAATTACGTCAAAGGAATTGTACTCCATAGCATACAGGGCCCCTTAGC